TATATATATATGTTTGATTTTATTTGGATCATGTCATGTGCTGGTTGTGAGTGTGTTTTTGGCTCGGGCTGTGGAGGAAAATGTGATTGTCACTTGAGGCAGACGCCGTCATGCACCTTGGCTGGCCTCTAACACTCCTGCTTATGCTTCCATTTTATCAGAGAAGATCATTTCAAAGGCAGAGATGGCTTCGAGGCTGAAGCAGCTGACCTCAGTAAAGAATTCTGTTGTGGGAAAACAAATGTTTTCCCTCGTGTACATGCATTGTAATGAAACATTAAAAAAAAAGAGAGAGAACAAGAGCAATCATTATCTAGCTCCCGGTTTGTCCAGTAGGTGGGTTGAGTAATGAGTCTTAGAGCAATGTTGTCACAAGTGGAAAAAATGTAATGAGATTAGTTGAAATTGTGCACAGCATAAAAACACACCACAAATCTATTTTTAATGTTCTGCTTGTAACAAAAAAAAAAAACACACGAGCCAGCTTTTTGACCTTTTTCAAAAGCAAAATCAGTGCGTCTCAGTTCATGTTTACAGACATCAGAGCAGGTCAGTAGGTAAAAGGGGACAATGACAAAAAGTCAACCAAACAATAAAGGAGGTGATAGGTGACTCCTGCTGGAAGTGACCAAACACTGACCACTGTAGTAGAGCAGCAGCAGGTTATGAGCAGGTAACAGGAGCAGCGGTGATGGTGGTGGTTTCAGTTACTACTAGGTAGCAGATGTTTCAATAGCCATGTGCACAAAAGTCACATGGCCAACATGTGCATTTCAATACAACACCATCACAGACTATCACACAATTCCCCTCCAAAATTGAGCTATTTCTGGCAGGAATAATGTATTAGATTATTACATTAGGTGTTGATGCAGATTACAGTGTAAATCCTCAGGCCCCAGTAGTTTAATAGACAAGAGGCTGTCACACACTCGCTGTTCTTAATCATCACAAACACTTTCATATGACATATGATATGATTCACATCAAACACTAGATGTCTATCCTGCTCAGTAAGGAAAATCAACAGATTTTAATGCTGTTTTACTCTGTTTGGAGCAGCAACAGTTAACTCTGTCGACACTTTCATTGCTAACACCCTGAGAAGTTGGTAAAAGGCATAAAATACGCGTTTGCAGGTGGTTCACCCATGACCTGATATCCCAAGATCAAATTTGGTGGCTCTAATCTGAAAGTGGACTTTGCCTCAATAAGCCAGACAGAATCATTCTGTTCTCTTCAGCAGTCTGTTGTGAAAGAGTCACATCTCCTGATTGTCATGACAGGGCAATGAAAAGGCACAGAGAGGACCAGGATTGGTTGAAAAGTCACTTGTCACGGGCAGACAGCTCTGGTATGCTGATAAGTGTTTCACCAGTGTTTAACGAGTCAGGAAGAGAGCTATCTCCAAAGATCTCTGATTTGAAAACAATTAATAAGAGAAAATGTATTTATATTAAATTAATTGATAAATGATTCTTCTAGCAAAAATGCCAGCCATCATGTAGTTTCAACATCTTGCTGTTTTTCTTTCTCATGTGACAGTAAACTTAATATTTTTGGAGTATTGATCAGACAAAACGAGACATGAAGACGTCACCTTGAGTTTTGGGAAAGTATTTTCTGACATTATAAAAAATTAATCAGTTTAATCAGGAAAATAATTATCAGATTAATTTATGAAAATGAAAATAATTGTTGAATCTCTTACTGACCTATATTTGCTCGCATTGTAACGTTCAATTAAAAGCTGTTATTACCAAATAATTAAAACATCTCTTAGTACAGAGTCTTCCACTGCTTTGTCTGTAATTATTACTGACGGGACAAACATAAAAAGGTAGTCAGCATGAGAAAGGAAATGTCACGTACTGATGTACCAACTAATTACTCGTTATCACATTCATTGTTACAATGATTTGAATTTTAGATCCTATTTTCCAGCCCACGTTTTTTAACATCTCATAACAAAAGAAGCAGTTGAGGGTTTTCCTGTATGATTAACTTTGTTTTGATTGTGAAGTGGTTTGCAGTGTCTTGGTTGCTGAGTGCTGACCCGTCATCATGCGCCAAATATTTGCATTCAACACATTCTTTTGTCAAACGTTGCTGCTTTCCACAGCCATCTTTTAGTGATCACGTGTTTGTTTGTCTTAAACAGTTGCACAGGGTTTTTATTGTTCTCAACTATGGACACACTGGCTAGTCAGAATGAAGCTGCTTCTGTCAAGTGTCTTATGCAACAAATATAAAACATTAATGTTTCAAAGACTCACAGAACGCTGAGAGGCCCTCTCTGACTTGACCTGTAGTAACCTCATTGTCTCACCAGGACTGTCGCAGGTAAAGAGCACACCATCCTCAAATGTTTCCTTCTCTTTGATTTCAACTAGAACTTTGTTGAACTGCTAATGCAAAGAGAAGTGTGTCTTTCTTTTAGGGCTGTACCCCACAATTATTTTCAATTATTATAATTCCAACAATTGTTCAGTATATTATTTTCTCAATTAAACGATTAATAAATTTGTCAGAAAACAGTGAAAAATCCTTGATAAATTTCCCACAGCTCAAGCTGATGATTTATTTGATCAACGATCCAAAACACAAATATGTTTAGTTTTCTATCATATATTACAAAAACAAATGGATCAAATCCTCTCTCTTGAGAATCAGAGAATATTAGTGATTTTTTTTTTTCCTGAAATGTCTCTTATCTAAATAGTTGCAGATTGACTCTCTGTCGATCAGCTAATTGATTGAGTGTTGCAGCTCCGCCATCTTTTAACTTTCGCAACCATTTTGGAAATAAGTGTTCCTACTTTGACTTTTTTATATGTTTTTATGTGTTCTGTTTTTCAAGGCAAACAAAATTACAGGTTGTCATACAAAGCCTGGGTTGCTGTCATCATCTTAAAATGGCTTCGTTCATTTAGTATTTCTTATCTGTTGTTGGTTATTTTATCAATAGGGCTGCAACTAATGATTATTTTCTCTCTTGAGTAATCTGCTCTCGATTAAATGTTTAATGTACAAAATGTCAAATTTCTCACTATTTCTCAGAGCCTGGGATTACATCTTCAGATTGCTTGTTTTGTTTGAATAATAGTCCAAAAACCCAATGATATTTCTTTACATTGTTGTAACACAGAGACAAGCAGCAGATCATCACAATGAAAGAGCAGAAATATTTGTGCTTGAAAAATTAGTGAAACTACTATTGAAATAGTTTCAAATGACAAATCAACTAATCAGCTAATTGTTTCAGCTGAAATTATCGTGCAAATAAAGCCTGCTGAATTGAGTTGAAAAACTAAGAAAGGCTGATGCACCTTTAAGTTAAATATAGCAGCTGCTTTGTGGTGCATTAAAAACGTCTTGCGGCGTCAGTGCTCTTCCGTCGATGCCAGTAAATCTTACTTGAATTGGATTAAATTGATCGAGAGACAAGAAGCAAGCAAAAGATGGAAGGAGAGGAGCGGGACAGGATGAGAAAGAAAAAAAAAAGGGAAATGGTAAAGAAAATAGGAAATTGAAGGAGCCTGAAAGGAGAATAAGTAGTGAAAGAGGGAATAAACCAGACAGGAGAGAGGATGCAATTGGTGCAGACAGAGACAGAGAGAGAGAGAGAGAGAGACGGTGTGTTTGAGAACGTGATGGAGGCTGAGAGATGGAGAGGACGAGCTAAGTGAAAGAGAAAAAATGAGACAGAAGAGTGTGTGAGAGAAGGAGAGAAGAGGAGATGATGGTGGGGGGTGGGGTCTATTTCCATGGCAACTGTGGCTCTTGTTGAGCTGTGGTGGTGTTTTTTCTTTTTTCCAAGCCTCTTGTGCTGGAAGATTTTTCTTTTTTTGTGCTGAACTCAATGTTCTATCCAACTAAACTCTCCAGACCAGATTCTCCTCTCCAGGCTTCTCTGTGCTCCACTAACACTGCTTCTAAACGGCGGATCCATGTAGAGAGAAACAATAATCGATGAGTCAATGAACAGAAAAGGAATCAGCAACTGTTTTGATAATCAGTTAATCATTTTTAGCCCTTTTCAAGCAAATATCACAAATATTCAGTGGTTCAAGATCCTCAGATGTGATGACAAGCTGCTTTTCTTTCTCATATCTGATGTCAAACTGAATAATCTACTAAAATATTATGAGTAGCTTCATTGATAATGAAAATAATTAACTGCTGCCTTACATTCATATAAAAGGTAGGTTGGACCCATTCATATCAAACATTTGTCTCAGGTTATTCTCTGGTTGTAGTTAGCAGAGACTCTAGTTTGGGGCTGCAGTTTTTTAATTTTAATTTTCTATTTATCAGCTTTATCTGAGACTATTTTCTCAATTAATGGTTTTTCTATGAAAAATTGGTAAAAAGCACCCATTATAATATCCCAGTTTAAGGTGCTGCATTTGAAGGACTTTTGCAGGAATTTTGACACATTTTCCCCCATTTTAAAACAATTAGTCAATTATCAAATATTATTTTTCTGTTGATCAACCAATTGATCGGTCGACTAATTCTTGCAGCTCCACATTGAAAAACTGCTAAATTGTTTCGGTTTTATTTTTCTTCTTGGCCCATAAATCCACTCTCTCTCTCTCTGCTTGCCTGCACATGCCCACTTTCTGTTTTTCTTTCTCTCCAATTCTTTCCTTTCCTTTTCTTTATTCTTTGTCTTTTGAGGGAGTCAGCTAAATAATGTTTGAACTTCAGTTTCATTAAATCAATGAAGTAGTTCAACCCTGGTTGAGATGACAGTCCCAGTGGAGGGTTGAGTGGCATGTGTTGACCCATTGGGATAGACCAGTTCGTCGGTCAACAGAAATTTAATCAATGACAATTAAACTTTTTAAATAATCTTTTCAAACAAAGCTGCCATAAAAGGTTCATATCTGTGAGTTTAAGCCTGTTCGTCAGACAAAACAAAACATTTGAAGGCATCATCATCCTGTTTCTAAAGGTTAAAAAGTTCCTTACACCCCTTTCTGTCTCGTCCTCAGCCTTCCCCTGGTTTGGTATGGACATCGGTGGCACCTTGGTGAAGCTGGTGTACTTTGAGCCAGTCGATATAACTGCAGAGGAAGAGCAGGAGGAAGTGGAAAATCTCAAGTCCATCCGTCGCTACCTCACCTCAAATGTGGCCTACGGTACGTCTATCCACACACACAGACACACACACACACACACACACACACACACACACGTATATTTGCACCTGCTAATTTGTTTGTGTATCTAAGAAAGGAAAAGTCAGGTCAAGGACACTTTACGAGAAGATACCAGGTTATATTTCGCACTGTGTCACTGATGTATTACATAAGATTGATAAGGAGTTTTGTTCTCGACGTCAAGTTCAGTCTTAATAGAGAACAGATCATTCACATTTTTACAATGGGCCACAGCTTTTAGTAAAGTTTGTTTTTAGTTCCAGAATCAACATGGTAATAATCGTTCCTCCCACCCTCAGGTAAAACAGGCGTCCGTGACGTCCACCTGGAACTGAGGAACCTGACCATGTGCGGCAGGACGGGGAACCTGCACTTCATCCGCTTCCCAACACAGGCCATGCCCCGTTTCATTCAGATGGGACGCGACAAGAACTTCTCCAGCCTGCACACGACCCTCTGCGCCACCGGGGGCGGGGCGTACAAGTTCGAGAACGACTTCCGAACGGTGAGTGTACGGCGGGAGAAAACGTCTGATTAGTGTTAAGTGATTTAACAGTCCCAGCTTCTCAAATGGGAGAATTTGTTTCCTTTACTTTGTATTAATTTGAATACGTTTGAGTTTTGGACTTTTCGTCAGATAAAACAAGAAATTTAAATCGCAACTGTAACTGGCTTTTCCACTGAGAAAATAAATGGAGGATTAAATCAAAATGGAAATAATCATGAGTTACCCAGCATGCCAACCTGGCCATGTTGACCTGACCAGTTATAATCTGATCTGAGCAGAGATTTCTGCCTGCCTCTGTGATTTTGCAGTTGATTGAGGTTATCCGTATGTATCTGCATTTCTTTGCTCAGGTGAGTGCATTTGACGTCATGGTCTGTTTACTTGAGTTCGTTGACCCTGTCTGTAGTGCAGTAGGATCAGTGAACTTCTCTGTGCCCCGCAGCATGAACTGAACTAAACTAAGTTCAGTTTGTGCACATTTCTTGGAGTGTTTTAAAATAATTTGAGCTTCATAAATTCAACGATGCTTCCGAGGAATGTGATAAACATTTAGTTTATAGTGTTAAGCAGCTAAAACAGTGACCTCTCACTATTTTACCCTCCTCCATTTGTGCTGCAGATGGCCGACCTGGAGCTGCTGAAGCTGGACGAGCTGGACTGCCTGATCCGTGGCCTACTGTTCGTCGACCGGGTGAGCTTCAACGGACACCCAGAGGGCTACTACTTCCAGAACCCGTCAGACACCCAGAGCTGCGTGAAGAAGCCCTGCACCCTGGACAACCCCTTCCCCATGCTGCTGGTCAACATCGGCTCTGGGGTCTCCATACTGGCCGTGTACTCAGAGAACAATTACAAACGGGTGACTGGGACCAGGTGAGGTGGATAGACACCTATATGCACGCACGCACACACGCATACTTATGTACATACACACGCTTGCTCAACATGCCAGCAACAGAACCACAGGAACTTTGGTTTTGGTAGAGATTCCTCTGTCAAGCCGCAGTGATCTGGAATGGAGTGAAAGAAGAAACTGAAAGTGTTTTGTTTGTTTGTTTATTTGCAAAATATTAAAAAGAAGATAAAATACAAAAAATAAGATGAAAAATTATGGCAAGTTAAAACACAAAGTAATATTCATGCAATCACAAGAGATATGCAGGAGGAGCCAAAAAGCCAGAGGCTTATTGTGATGCTTCCCTAGGAGAGCATCAAATTTCATATCACAACATCATGAGATTTCAGTAGCAAAATATCTCATGTTTTGTAATATACAATATATATATATATATATATATATACATAAAATATACAAATGTACAATATATGTGATATATGCTGAAAAAAACTGAAAGAAGTTCTCTTAATATTAAGTGAAGGTTCATTGATCTTCAATATGTGATTTAGTTCATTAATTAGGTAGCAGTTAAATTACTGAGAATAAACAAAAGTCAGAGTAGCATGTGATGGGTGGAAGCAGCCTTTTCCCAGACATAGTTTGCAGAATGTTTTCAATTGGGCCCAAGTGAGTTGAAAACTGAGAAACAATAGAAAGATTAGACTTAAGCCCCAAATCAATGGGTATTGATCATTATGTTGTTTTGCATGAGTGAATATGTGCAAAAGGTGAAGGCTGAAGGCGAAATGCTTTTTATAGCATCAGTAGATCTGCAAGTTAAGACAGAACCAATTGTTTGCATTCCAGTCATCCTTTATCTATTATCACCTTGTGTACCTTAGTACTTACGTAATAGTAGAGCCAGATGGTGATTAGATAGAGAAGTCTTGAAAACAGCTGAAAAGAAGGTCTCACCCAGACCTGATGAGGAGAACCAGTCACCAATCGCAGTTCGTGGTGTGGTCGTCGTGTGTGTGTGTGTGTGTGTGTGTGTGTGTGTGACCACACATGGTCGAGGTGAAAGCTACACGACCATCTCCAAGCAGCTTGATGCTCATGTGACCACAGCTGCTAATAAGGGAAACTTTCCTGGACGTTGGCACAAGGGGAAAATTGAACAGAGGGACAGTTCAAATGGTGGAAAAACTTCAAAACAGAAACAAGTTGACCTCCAAGATGAAGATACAAGTATCGAGTTGCACCATATGTCGCATTTTGTTCACAGAAGAGAAAATGAGGCTTTTACTGCCTCCCCACTGTGAAACATGGTGGAGGCTCAGTTATGTTATGAGGTTGTTTGGCTAAGATTATCAAAGCGTTCATAACCCACTGCCCAATGATAGAGAGCTCTGTCTCAGCCGCAGGTCACTGCTTCTCCAACAGCATAATGACCCAAAACATCGAAAAGCAGCCAAGACTGGATGAGAAGAAAACATTTGACTGTTCTTAAGTGGCCCACTATGAGTCCTGATCTTAATCCAACTGAACATCTACGGAAAGAACCGAAACTCTACCCAGCAAACCTGAGAGAATGGGAGGAGTTTGTTCAAGAAGGGTGGGACTAACTACTGAGAGATGTAAAAATGCAAGAAAAAGCACTTGTTTGCAGTGATTGCCTCAAAAGGTCAATATTTTTTGTCCATTTTTAAGTAATATGTCACAGCGAAAAACAAAAGCTACATGTTTGTCGCGCTAAATATGGACTAGAGAATAGTGGAGGATAATTACTTCTGTCCGTTTCAGCTTGGGGTTTCTTTTCTTTTTTGAGTGCAGGTGCAACACTTTCAGCCACGTCTGTAAGTGGTGCCAGTACAACACCTGCTATTTGTTACTTCCTCATACTGTAAATGCCAAGTGCGTCTCATTGTGGCTGCTCACCATGACATCAGAGAGAGAGAGAGACAGAGACAGACAGACAGAGAGAGACAGAGAGAGAGAGAGAGAGAGAGAGAGAGAGAGTGCATCTTGTCCATCAGTCACAAACTCACACTCTCCTGTCAGACTGTTGAAGTGGTCAGAATCATTTTCTCTGACATTAACTTTGTCCAGGCTTCAGTCTTTTTGTGCTCATCATCTGTGACAGACATAATTCTTGGCTGTTTGACACAGTTACTGTGAAATGCTGGGAAGACAAAATGAAATGAAACTCATTTCGTCATGAATGAATAAATCCATGATGAAATGAGTCACGTCTGGGGCAACAAACTTTACAACAACCTTCAGACTAACTCTGAAAGACTCATTATGAACAGATTGAAAACACTTGCTAGCCTAGCAACATTAAGGCTACAAAAAACCCATAATGCAACACTCTCAGTAGAAAACTGTCATTACACTCATACTCTCTCCATTCATCTGATGTTGTAAAGACATAATTGTCTCATCTTCAAATATAAGACGACCCCCATTTTTTTCAAAATTGGTTCCAAGAGAAAAAGATTCAGATTCCATCTATTTCTCCTCCGTTACTCCTCCACCACCCAGATATCTATTTTCTAGTTTATTTACATCTCACTTTACATTCAAAGTGTGTTTTGCCTAAACTGAATACCTGTGAGTCTTGAATGGTGGTGTGAGAAATTTTAGAGTTGAGGATAAAAGTAGATTATCACAGGCGTTTGTTTCTTTCGCCATTTATTCCCTTCTTCCCCACCTCCTCTTCTTCCCGTTCTTCTTCTCGGCCCTCTTTTCTCTTTCTCTCTTCCCAGACCACTTTCCCTCACTGCTCTTGCCCGTTTTCTATTTGATTTTTCACTTTCAGTGGTCTCCATCATGTTATCTAATCCGTCTTTATCCTCTGTCTCTCTTTCTTTCAGTCTGGGAGGAGGTACGTTCCTGGGCCTTTGCTGTCTGCTGACGGGCTGTGAGACGTTCGAGGAGGCGCTGGAAATGGCCAGCAAGGGAGACTCCACCAACGTGGACAAACTGGTGAAAGACATCTACGGCGGAGACTACGAGCGCTTTGGCCTGCAGGGCTCTGCTGTCGCATCTAGGTGAGTCTGACGAGGGTGTGTCCCCTGAAGGTCCACCCTCCTGTCAGGAGCCAATCAGGGGATGCTCTGCAGTGCATTAGGATGTTATATCACTGAACTGATCAAGACACACAATTTTTAATTCTCTGACTGTGGAAATCTGATGTTTTCATGTGAGAGATGATCATCATAGACAGTAAAACCTGAGTCTTGTTCATGTAGATGTAGAAAATCCCAAACAGATCTCTATTCACTGTGCCTCATCAAAAGATGGGTAAACCTACATTGATTTTTACTCAACAAAACATCAAGCTAATTAAGTAAATTTGATGCAGATTATTAAACTAATTACCTGCAGTGGATGAAATCAGCTTGAAACTTGTTGAATCAGCATTAAGTACGTTATTTGTTCACATTAATTAGAGAATTGCTCACACGACATAATGGTGAGAACATGAATCATCCAAAATGATTTAACAGGGTTTAATTTGTGTGGAGATGCTCTGCATGAATGTTTTCATGCACATAATAATAGAAATATGAAAGACACATACCAGCAAGTGGTGTTTGAAATAATAGCTTTGAGTGGCCATAATAGGCGTTAGGTACAGCACACACACGCTAACTCTTACTCAGACCTGTACTTGCTAATCTGGGTTTAGCATGTATACAGTAAACCTGCAGCTTTGTGTCCAAAGGTTGATCCATAAAGCAAAGAGAAAAACAGATTTTATCACGGTCATCAGATTATTATCACTGTTTCCTGCTATGGTGTTCCATTCTGTCTTTTACTGAAACAAAATGCACACACACACACACACACACACACATACATACACACACACATACATAACAACCCTTGTTTGCTTGTTCTTTGTGCCTGTTAGTTTTTGTCTGTTTTGTCTGCACGCGCGCATGTGTGTGTTTTTGTAATGTTCACATGTAGAATGACTCTCTGTCTGTTTTACAGTTTTGGTCACATGATGAGCAAAGACAAGAGAGACAGCATCAGTAAGGAAGACCTGGCCAGGGCCACGCTGGTCACCATCACTAATAATATAGGATCCATAGCACGGATGTGTGCTGTTAATGAGGTACACACACACACACACACACACACATACACACACACACGCACGCACAGGATCATTTCATAACATGCAATCCATAACAGGCATATATGGTTTATTTGATAATTACACACAAACACATGAACAGTTATTGTGTCTCCACAATATGATCCATTAGCACACACACACACACACACACAAACACACTGACGAGAGATTAGCTTGTCAGCATGACTAATAATATGGATAGACACACCTTCTGTCAGTAGCATACGCACATACACAAACACACACACACTTAATTCACAGCTTTTCTAGCCACTCACCATGACTAACAACATAAAAGTAAAACACACACACTTTGTTATAGCGCCACCAAAATGATCTCCCTCATATTCAGCTGTGAATTGCGATGAGTTTCACATAATCAACAGTGAGCCGGAAGGCAATTTGGGGATTGTGAGTTCTAATTGGCACCACAGTGAAATCAGCGAGTGCATCATAAAAAACAAAACAAACAATCAGAAGCTGTTGATTTGAATATTTTAATGGTTTCTGATAGTTTAATGACTGAAATAAACGAGTACACAGTTAAATGAAAAACTGTTAAATCAGGACAACCAGTCAAAGTCAAACGTGTTATTTTCTGGAGGGAGGGATCAGCCTGGAGTCTTTCTGTGTGCTGTGAGCTTCTTTACAGTGTTGCCTTGTGGCATGGCGATCAAGCAGCATTGTACAGGGCTATCACTGCACACAGACGTGCAGCGAGGACACGCGCGCAAGTCCACAAACTAGGGGACTTTTTCTATATGGAACCAATTAACCAATAGCTTCTGTTTTGATTTGAATTATCTTAAATATTGATTATAAGAACATGCTGCCCTTTAATTGTTTCAGGGTTAAAATGTAGATACTAAGGTTTTCCTGTGAGAGCTGAAAATTTTGAAGATAAAGTGACACATCGTACCTGCTCTTTGGCAACGAAACTGACGTATATTTAAACCTTTTAAGTACTAATTAGACATCGCTGAGCATCAACAGCAAATCAACAAATGTTTTCCTCTGGCCTCCATTAAGTCAGTCATCTTCTAGACATCTTATTTTATTTTAAACTATTTTATAAAACTGATGACAGTGGATTATCTATTTGTAATTCCCCAAAATTCACAAACCACTGTGGCAGTTTCTTGTAATTTTGCAGGGCCTTTGCCAAATATAAGAGTAACATAATCCACTAATAAACATGCAGAGATTACTCTTTTAATACGTTGTTTTTTCACACAGTCAATGTCAAACTGGAGGTGAAAGAATTAAGTATGAAGGTGCAATGGTTAATCTCCCACTGTTGCACTGTCTTTCTCATTTTACAGTATTGGTAACCAGTTTGTCAGCTCTCTGGCACCACCGTGTGGTGTGGTATTGGCGTTGCATCCTTCACACAGTTTCTGATCTGTTTCACATTTAAAAAATTAATTTATGAAATTTGACATGACCTCCAGTTTTAGTTTTTTTTTCTTTTTTTTTGTTTTGTTTTTTATCAATTTTACATTTTTATCTTCTTAAGGACAGTTTATAATGTTCCTGGGAGGTTTTTATTTGATTAACTGATTAGTCGACTCAGTCTTCTGGTTTTGGTTGGGTTTGTTGGTTTGACACAACAAAACCTTCTGAAGACAGACATTTTATAGCACTTAATTGTCATTTTTTCAGTGCCTTTATTAGAGGCGATATCTGAGAGTTGAGAGGAATGAGGTGTTTTGATCCATGGTCAGCATCTTAACCCCGAGTCCACTGAGGCACCCTGGCCTTTCATATTTTCAAATAAGGATGTATATTATTGTTATTGATGTGGTTTTCCACACATATCGGGACTTTGTTTCTCTGACTTTTTTCACGGCTCTCTTCTCATCAGAAAATCGAGCGTGTGGTGTTCGTGGGGAACTTCCTTCGTATCAACACAGTGTCCACAAAGCTGCTGGCCTATGCCATGGACTTTTGGTCTAAAGGACAATTAAGAGCCCTCTTCCTGGAACATGAGGTGAACACTTGACAAATACACAGTAAATGTAATCCCGGGTAGCAACTAGGAAAAAAAAGTCATATTCTCTTTCAGAAACCACCAGCACTGTTTGGCTGTAAACACATCTCACTTCAGTTAAATGCCATGATGTGTGTGTGTGTAAAAAGTGTATTGGTGTGTTTCCCTCTGCTTCAGGGTTATTTTGGAGCTGTGGGGGCGCTGATGGAGCTTCTCAAGACAACAGAGGACCCATGAAGGAAACTGTGTGACATCATCAACCCTCGACAAGTCGATGTCATCTTTCCCTGGACGCTGTGATGTCATCAACTCTCGATGCTGTGACGTCATCAACTTTTGACGCTGCTGAAAGGTCCCGTTCATAGAGGCCGAGAAAGGAACACTAAGAGAGAGACACAGAAACTGAGAAAAGCCATTTTAATAATTTAACACTTGTAAATAATGATAACCTCTAATATCCATCTCCTAAATTTCCCAAACAGAGTCCCCCTATCATAGAGGTTTTAATATTGTAATCTTTAATTTATGGTTTCCTGTAATCAGCTCTGTTGGTTCCTGTCATCAGTCTTGTGTCAGGAAGCACAGAGACAGAGTATTTTAGTGTTTTTTGTTACTGTGTGTGTGTGTGTGTGTGTGTGTGTGTGTGTGTGTGTGTGTGTGTGTGTGTGTGTGTGTGTGTGTGTGTGTGTGTGTTTGTGTGAATAGCTACTGTAGCATTACGCCCCAGAAGCTGTGGTGCCCCGGGTGACTATTTGTGCAACAGTTCTTTAAGATACGACGTCTGCACAGAAATTAAGCTACTCTTGAATGAGTAATTGGGCATTTTTACCACAGAGGACTCACAGAAATTCCTCTTCCACGACCACAGAAACATCATTTGACCACCAATGCCTCCTGCCTCCTTTTGTCAGAGTGCAGACGGACAGCTGTGGCTGAACACTTCAGTAATGTCGACCTCTGGTTGTTACTGATGCTGTAAAACGATCAAGACTGCAGCTAGTGGTCATCCCACTCCAAACTGCAGTTGTGCAGCAGCAGTTGTGGCAGTAGCTAAGGGTAAGGAGCCATTTTGTTGCAGCCTGTTTTTTGTTTTTTTTGGGGTTTTTTTGCACAAAAAGTTGCCCAGCTCGCTACAGTCTTCTGAGGAGTGCACTGAAGCCAAATCCTGTTGAGATTCGTACGACACCTGCCTCCTTCAGTTCAGATGGGAAGCAGAAAAACGGTCTTTAATTCTTTCTGTTGCTCCACTGCACATGGCCTTCGCTTTTTGTTTGTCTCTCCTCCAACTACCTACATGCAAACAACATTAACAACACCGTATTGCCACGCATGCATACTGCTCCTAACCTGCTGAGTTTAGTGTTAGACAACGGGACCAAGACATTGTCTTCCAAGTGATAGTGCTACGGCTGTGTCTGCATTGTTGATGTCTGTAGACTGGCATCGCCACAATTACAGTTCAGGACCCAGTCTGGCTCAGCAACACATGTTTATGTTCTGTTTTCTTTTTTTATCTTTGTTGGGAATCATTTTCTTTTTCTATTTCCCTCCCCCATCTGCAAGTGTCTAGTTCAAGGACACTTCAGCTGGAGGGGGCCTGATTCCTCACCCTCTACCTTCTCTGCCACCCTGCTGCCTTGTTTGGGTGTTGCATTGTGATGTAATGAGGCATTCAGGCTGAGTTAATGCAATGCTAACGCTCCATGTAAATCCTGGCGTAAAAAAAAAGCTTCAGCACCCCCGGCTCTTGATGCAGATGCAGAAGGATGTTATCACCTTCTGGGAGACAGTGGGGACCAAGATGCTTTTTAGCCCAGAGTCTCCCCTCATGTAAAATACACTGATGCAAATTTGCTAGTAGCAGAAGCAACTCAACCACTGTATATTAGACTGTTTTTACTGTTTAATAATGCAGATATTGTCCACTAGAGTTGATGAAGTTCTGCCCGGAACGTGAAATTTAAAAACAGTGAGAAAAACTCACTTTCAGCGAACCATTAAAACCCGGGGTACAGCACATGTCCAAGTCCAGATTGCTTGAGTTTCAAGGGCAAATGGCAGAATTGATCAGAATGAAACCACACTAATGCAAACCAAGTTGTGGTACAAGCAAGACTTAAAAAAAATAGCTCTTAGCAAGGAAATCGCCTCATGTATGTCAACAACAAGTCAGGGCAGCCTTGTGTGTGGAACTTGCCTGTTTTGTCCTGATCTGAGTCCATATCCACACTCGCACGTGCACTTTAGTAGAGACTTAAGTGTTTAAATTGTGCATTTACTGAATACTTGAAAATGCTAGTGTGCATCTGCCAGTGTGGAGCTTTCAGATTTTTAGTGAAGCCATGACCTGAGATGCTTGGATGGAAAACCCTCTTACTTGCTTGAGTTGCCTGTAATGATAGTCTGAGTGGAGAAAGTCTTTTTGGAGGAATACAACCTGATGTGGAATAATGTAAATTAAATGCACACCTTACTTTATACTATAGGCAGGTTTTGCTATATGCATGAGAATGACAGCTGTAAAGAGGCTTCATCATCAGTGAGCTTTGAGTCACCAACAGTGACTTATTATAGAGAATTATTAGATAATCGCTGTTTTGAAGACACATGGACCACAAGTGTATAGTTTCCTGTTTCCTGCCCCCCCCCCCCTCCCCTCGATAACCTACAGCCTTTCATCTCTGTTTATTGTCAAGCAGCTGAACTATAAAGCTGGACAGTACAGTTTCCACTGTCCACCGCTTTATTTATATATTACCACTGTCTACATGCCTTTACTCTCCGTGCAGAGAAACTGTGCTCTTTCCCTTTTTGGAATCAGTCTTTGTGAAATTCAGCGTCATCCCTCAGTTTTTGTACTCAAGACGATTTCTTGTTAAATACCTCCAAACCATCACTACCAACACCTCTGGGTCGGTTAGTTTTCTGTGTTTCTGAGCCTGTGTTTCTTATACAAGTGTTAGTTCAGAACTGGGGATTCTCTTGACAGGACCTTGTGATTTATTGATCTCACCTAACAGTATAATAATGAAGGTGAAATCCTGATTATTTTTCTGGACATTATGACATGTTATTGGCTAAATAAGCTGATTGCGGTTATCTCTGCTTCACCGTCTAACATACGCACAGACTACACTTTGACCCCGACTAATAACATGTTTGCCGCTGTGCAGTGCTGTTTTGTTTTTAGTTCAGTCATAAAAAACAGCCACTTTGTTCTTAGGTACTTGTTATTTCAAGTTGATTTTCTTTTTTTTCTTTTTTTTTATCCACAGCAACTCTCCACACACTAACATTTAAAAAGCTCTGCTGTGAAACTGAATATGCACCATTTGAAGAAATTATATTTGCAAATTATAGATTGAACAGAATCAAAATACATTAGGGTCTTTTTTAACAGAAAAATCACATTTGACAGAGTTGATTCTCTGTTCATACAAACTGAATGTAGAAAACATTTTTTGTCTACCATTGGGTGTATTGGCTTAAATAATTCAAATGTCAAACTGTGGTGATATTTGTGTATCAGTATTTTGGAGGAAGATTTCGCAACCATTTCCTCTGACAACATTTAATCATCATGTTTCCATCCTGCTTGTTTTCAGACGTGATGATGCTGCAGATGTTCATACAGATGCTTCCTGGTCTGTTTTTGTTTTCTCCCTTATTTGCCTTGTTCCAACTCATGTTTGGATGATATTGGTGGCCTCGACCTGTCAGGTGCCACTCAGCTTTAACATCAGGCGAGTGTCGGTTATCTCGTGCCACCGTTTCTTTTAATCTGAAAACCCCAGTCTGTTGCCTTCACTGTGTGTTACCTTGGTTACACCGTGTTTGTGCCCTTCACTTTCTTCAGTGTGATTTAATTTCAGTTTCTTACCTGCTGTACTTTACCTCAACGTTTTTCTTTTTGTGCATGCAAGATACGTTTTTATGGTCGGGTCTCACTCTTGCTTTTTTTTTTTCTTTTTGTTTATTCTTGTTTGTTTTGTGTTCTGAAATTGTACTGTGCCAGAAGATTCAGTGCAGTTAACATATATTCACAGTTTGAACATCAGTGTTTGGATTCACCTGCGAGTCCTAAATGTGTCTTAGTAAAAAAAAAAAACAACAAAAAAACAACATTAACTTCCACTATCACTGCAAAGGCTTTGGTTCTAAAATTTGAGGTTTTTGGTAAGACACAACACTCTTTAAATATCCTAACTCATTACTAATGTGAACTCAAATTTTACAACCTTTTTTTTCATTGTTTTATTATAACAATAATGACAATAATGTGAGTTAATGTGTTTTTCCCATGTATTTTTCCTATGATTTGAAAATACTGTTGTACTTTTTGATTGTTTTGGATTGGCACAAAAGAACCAGTTCTCAAAAATGTAAATCGTGCTCCATCAGCCTGAGGAAACGTTTCCAGACATGTTGTGATTTGCAGCACTTAGAAAAATCTAACTGTGAGTTGTACCTTTTTTAAACTCATTTCATCACTGTCCTGCAGAACCTTTTCTCTAGAAGTAGAAGAAGCATTTATTTATGGAGGCCGGTGGTTTGAACATTTTACAATCTGCTGGTTATCATTTGGCTCAGTCTTTTATTAGGAATAGATAATTAAAGACGTACAACATTTTGAAATGATTAATGATTTCTGCAGAATGTAGATGACATGTTTTTAAGTGTACCTGCGTGTTCCTAGTGATGGTATAATTACAAGTTATAACATCATTTTCATACTCAGCTCATCTAAAACTGTTCTGAGCCGGTAACTATTGTACTAATGTGCTGCTGCAGCTTCCGTGCTTCAGATTCCAAAAAGCAAATCAACAATACTGTCTGGAATCTGAATTCTTCACAAAAACTGTATTAACTTTTATTCAAACAGTGTCACATCTTGCACTGTAGCTGACATTTTCCTCAACTATTTAAAGTGTTTCAAACATTTTCTGTAACTTCACCACACATACAGTATGACGCAAGAATTCATTCATTTAAAGCAAATCAGCTCTTGAGCAGTGATTTTTTTTTTCTCCTGTTATCATGAGTCAACAATGTTGATGTTTATCTACTTTGATAACGGTGTGATTTTAGAGTTTGGGCTTTGAACCTCAGTGACCCTTTGTCTGGGGTTCATTTCCCAATGGGACCATCTGTACTCGGATCAGTGTGTATTTCTCTGTATTGTAAGGAGCTTCAGTTTAAAGCGTCCACCGAACGGCAAATGTTGCATCATCTGTAGTGAAATCTAAACAAAAGGCTATGCAGCAACACATCCAACAAACTCTTTGTCCCTTTCAACAAACTCACCTCTTCTCTGAACCTACCACAGTTGATTTGACTTGTTTGTAAATGTTTAGAAAAAAGAAAGTATATATATATATATATATATATATATATACACAACCCTGTTAGTTTTCCCCTCTGAGAAATCCTGTTTGAATCTTGACAGAGAGAGTTTCTCCTCCTGATGTTTCTGTCCTGCTGATTTAGTTGTTAACACTATTTAAGGTGGATGCTCGCAACAGGATGTTGTAGACTGAATTATGCACCACATTGAGCGTGTGATTTTTCAGTGTCAGCTGTGACATTGTAAGTAAGGTCATTGTCACATACCCACAGTTATTTTTGAATGATACTGTTATGGCGAATCTTCGTCT